CGTAGAATTTTTCAAAATCGGGAATCCAAGTCTTATCGAAGGTCACACGGTTTTTATTTTAGATAATGAACGCAATATGAATGCGAAAAATATTAATTTCTAGAATAAGAGTCAAAGCTAACCCGGATATTTGTGAGATGGAAAGCATGAGCTCATTGTGGAAGATTTATAAAGCGCGTATTCTTGAAAAAAGCGCAACTTGTATTAGAGAGATTGCGGGATTGAGCGAAAAATATATCGTGTCAGCAACAAGACGGAGTGAAAGGAAGAGTCAGTTGGAGTCACATCCGTCATACCGTTGGTATTTTAAAGCCCCGCAGACTACATATACGTTTCTTTCTCTGAATGTTTTTCCATTGCGTAAGAATATCGCTTTACACGACAGCAAGAAGAATCCGCCTCGTTCTTCCAATCGCGATGAATAGAAACGATGAGAATAAGCGACGAATAGAAACACACGATGACGAGACGACGACGGAAATTGTGACGAAATTCCCGGCGCGTCGTGCGAATAATTGCACGAAATATCGATTTTCGACAGTCGATGGGGCGTGTTCGAGTCCTTCTCCGCCTTGTCCACAACGCTTTTACAGGCGCTGAAGAGACGTGGTCGGGTGTTCGAGGGTACGAGGTGGTCGCTCGGAGAAGGCGAGAGAGAGAGAGAGAGAGAGAGAGAGAGAGAGAGAGAGAGAGAGAGAGAGAGAGAGAGAGAAATGAGAAGAAGAAAGATCAGGTAGAGGATAGTCGGCAGCCCGGACTGACCAGCGGGTGCTCCGGATCCGACTGGACCGGTTTTGCTTGGATTCCCTAGGAGTCCTAGCCTTCGGGACTCTGCAAGACTGGCTCTCGCTCTCTGGGATTCTCTCCGATGCTGACCGGTCAGCACCGGTTACCGGTCACTACGATGCAGAGCAGCTCTCGTCGCTCGTCTCAGATCTCTCTCTCTCTCGACTTTTTTCTTCTTCTCTCCTTCCATTCTCGTCCGTCAGGGAGGAAGTTTCACGCCGCATCGCCGGCCCGCGGTTTCAGCCGTGCTACCACAGCTAGATTTCAACGTATCATTTATCATCGGCCGCCTCCTGCACGCGCTGCTGCCGCTCTGATGACTTGATACCGAAGGCGACACTACGTCCAACTTTCATCTTGACCCTCTGCTAATTCTACATTTCTTAGATGGATATCGACCAGAGGTGTGATTAAAATTCACCGGGAATTTGCGCTCCGATCTTTTTTTCTTTCGCGTTATCTTGATTATTAATTAATCGGCTCGATCAATGTCATCCATTTATCATTCTTTCGAATTTCTCACTGGGAGAAAATTACGTCGCAATCGCCGTCAGTTGGAGAGGGTCGCGCTTTTTATCCTCGTTTCGAGATGTTTCTTCAAAGTGTTGTCAAAATCCAGTTTAGAAATCGAGTTCAGCCTCCTGAAGCGGTTCCGAGCGACCGTTATAGGCGAAGATGGCGGAGACCTTCGTTCTGAAAAGGTGGACCGGCCAGCAGCCAGTTGCATCGCGGTTTTGTCTACTTGGCAATATGCGTGAAAAGAGGCGGTAGTCGAGAAAAAAAGAGTTGCGCGCAGGCTTTGCTCGTAGGGTGGCAGAAGAAGCTCTCCTGCTTCATTGTGGGAACGTCTCGATGATGGATTCAGTCATTAATTAAGGCCGCTAAGTGGGTACCTCCTGGCTCATTTTTTAGCCGCGTTCGAGCAACGAACTACTTGATACACAAGACATCCATCTCTTTATATCACCTTCTGTCGTTTATTTATTATTTAACTGCGCAACAGATTCAATTCAGGCCTTTTTTCACTGCTTGTTTACTCTCCCAAGTAATATAACTGGATTAATTAATGCGTTTAACACGTGAATCAGCGTTGACCGGCAATAATATAAGAGAATTATGCATATCTAATTCTTTCTCGCGCGACCACGCGGTAAGTCACGCAAAATTTATGCGCCATTGAACGTGTTAAATTATATAATTATTCCTACGTAATAAATCCTTCATACGTGCAATATTTTATAAGTGCCGTTTTATTCGCATTAAGTTTGAGGGGCTATAAGCCCAGCTCGCTGCTTCGTGCGTTAACAACTTCATTACGAGACCTCGTAATCTGCACGAGATCTCTTACCTGAAATCAATGTGCAGAAAATGCGAAAAGTGAGAGAGAGAAAAATCATAGATTGACGTGTTTAAAGCTCGATCAAGTTAATAAAGCTTAATTCTCCGATCCGTAACTCTGTTAAAAGATATATATATATATTAAATGAAAGAAGCATAGATAAAAAGGAGATACATAAACATTTTATTGCTCAAGTGTACTCGCATTGTCTGTAAAAGTTATTCAGAAGAGCTTGACGCATGTTCTTAAAGAAAGATCGACACGTAGGTCGAAGCTCACCGAGTCATTGGGAATTATGCTACCTGCATGCCAACACATTTTTTGCGCTTGCGTGCGCGACAGGTGATACACGCGTGACGCTCGTATGAGATTTTGGGAAATCGTGCGCGTGGAAGGGCGGCCGTGAAGTGGAACGTCAGGATTATCGTCACTGTCCGGTGCTTTTAAAGGTCCCATTAGCCACGGCACGTCATGCCGGTGGTAAAAGAGCGCAGCTGATGAATAGCGCTATGATCGTCGCGCATTCGAAGGGTAAAGTCTATCCGACCGCGCCATCATTCATTATGCTTCTCTTTTACGAAATAAACCGGAGGCACGCACGACGCTTCCGTAATGGCACTTACGTAATTGCCGTGGCTGTCACTCGGAAAAATCGCCTCGCTGATATACAGTGCTATTTAAGCCGCCATTAAATCGGGACATTCGAATTGTCGAGGTTTCGAGACTCCTAACATTAAAGATTCTAAGAATTCTGAAATTTTCTAACGAGAGATTTGATTTAACACGATGTTAATATGATTTATACTGGAATGGTGCTTTACACGCGAGAGGTTTCGCGATCCTCGTGGCCTTTCGAGCTTCGAAACTGAATTAGTAAAGTAACAAACCAGATGTGTGCATTCATTTTTATTTATGCGACACCCATCACAAACAGTATGCCGACCACGATATGTCGTTAAACTTGCGGCTATCGCAATATGACGAGCAAACACATGAAAGCACTGAATCAGAAATCAATATGAAACGATGCGCGACGCTAACGGCGTACACGATGATTAATAGTAAACGCGTTGGCTTTTTTTCTCGTCTAATTTATTCGCCCGCGAGATCACATTTTTCCGGTGTACACGCCTTAATAACCATTTAATGTTGTGCTAATGACGGCACTTTGCCGAGACTAATGATTTGGATCGTCCAGCGCTAACGACAGCGTCATCGACATTCAACAGTAACAGGGCCGCTGTGCAACCGCACACGTCGATTACGTTGAAGATGAAGATTTATGTAAAAATATTCCACCGCTGAATCGCGTTAATAATACGAACCCACTATTTCATTACAAAAACAACAAAGACTCTCTCAGGCCAATTTCTAATCCGTCCGTGCGATTATACTTGATAATAATATAATTAATATAATCCTGGTTATGCGCTACTTAAGCGATTAGATAATATATATAATCTGTTACGGAACACGCATATTGGTAGCATCCAATCAGCTGTCATTAAAGCAAACGTGTAGCAATAGCGCCAGTTACGCATATTTAACATCACTTTTGTACGTATCGTTTTGGCGAGATATTCTCCGCGTTTTCAATCGCGATTTTTGCAAGCACGAGGGAAAAAAGAAAGTACCGTCATTTGTTCGAGATTCGTTATAAAAAAATACATGGATTTTACATATTTATAATAATTTTTCACTAGTGATTATATAATCTCAGTCAATTCAGGGAGTTTGATTTATAGCTTTCTAATTTTTTCTTCACGTGTGAGAACGACTATTTAAATTTTTATCTAGATTATACTTTATTGGACCCCTTTAACGTACGTGAAACTTGCGTATCGATATGCATGATTCGCGTGTCAGGCAACACGCGACGAGGCAATCGCGGACAATGGGCCTCGTTTCCTTAAAACGCAAAAATTAGCATTGCCTATGGGCAGAGAAACAAAGTGAGTTCGCGGTGAAAAAGAAAAGATGCCGTTCGATGCAGACGATGCATCCATGTAACAATGATAATTGCAAGCTGTTTTTTCCGTGGCACCATCGCGCGATTATTCGAAAATAAGCGTTTTTAAGGGTACACCTCTCTTCCTCCTCTCTCAATGGTTCGGCGGATCTTTCTTCGTTGTTGTCTCTCGTCCTTCGGACACACGGCTATCTTGACCATCGCATAAAAGCCGCCGCATATTTTGATATAGCACGCTCCAAGAATGACATTTGTTTGTTCATTTTTTTCTTAAAAACAACAGACGACTCGTAAGATTATTCAATGATCGAAATGTATGGATTTTAATTTCTATATGTTTTTAATATTCTACTTGTTGTATGACACATTTCTCCCTTTCTCTCTTTTTCTCTTTATAATACAAAGTCAATTTATCACATTACATGGACTAGATATAATAGGAATTTATAAAAAATACTAGTCACTTTTGCGAGGAATAATCTCGATCGATTAAATCTTTTTCAATCAAGATTTCAGTTTTATTGAATAGTAAATGCAGAATATTACGAAGGGGTTTTGGATCTGCCTGTATATCCGCGGATTCCATCTCGTGGGCCCTACGGTGTAACAAGCGAACGCGCATAATGATATTAATCAGGGCGGTGTGTTCGGCTTCCTTAAAATTGCCGGCAGGCTCAATTTCTCACTTAAAATCTAATTAGAGCTTGCCGGAGCTCGAGCTGCCGTAGGCCGACCAGAGAGAACATATGAGGGGAAGTGGGGGGGCAAGGAACAAGATCGAGAGATACAGAGAAAGAGAGAAAGAGAGAGTCCTCCCCCCTTCCTCTCTCGACACAAGCGAGCCGCGAGTTTGACCTCGGAATAAAGACGGATCCCAACCTAAGGCCCTACTTTGCGAAATTGCAGTTTCCTGCCCTCGGATTGCCGATCGTCCCCCGGACCCATTTTCGGACCCACCGAACTCGACGATGGGCCCCGACCAACCCGGCCGCCACAGCCGCCGCTCTCAGTCGGGGCCTCCGAGAACAAGTATCCAGCCGTCAAGGATCGGTCGTCAAGGCTTTTGGAACGTCCGGGACGCGTCATCGCGTCGATCGCGCGCAGTCAGGACACTCGGACGGACTCAAATATCGTCGGATTTGAGGTGAGATATTTTTTATCGTTGCGAGCAAATCTCCTACTTTGCCATTTAAGGTTTAAATTTTTTTTTTCTTCAAATTTCCTAGCTTGAAAAAAATCATAATATATCAGGTTATTTCGAGAACATGAAAGAAGAAAGTATTCTTCTATTGTCATAGCTAGAAATTGTTTCTCTTTAGTATCTTTTACTTGGCTACATGTTTCTGCATTTTTTTAAATTGTTGCCTTGCAGAACTAGACGTGTTCCGACAGTTGATTGATATATGTTGCGCAAATATTTGATAGTTCGCGTTTCGGGCTTCACTCGCGGATTTTAGTAACGTTGATAACGATAAAATACGGTTAGGTTTCTCCGCGATCGATAGGGTTGGTGTCACTCGTTTTTAGAATACGTCGATGTTCGATGCATAATTACATGTATCGAGCGCTAAATCACGAAGATCGCGTATATCGAGGGATGCATACGGAGCGTGCACGGAGGACGATGAAAAAAAGAGCGAGAGAGGAGGGGGTGACAGGAGCAAAAAGACGACCAATCGTTAGCAAGGTACAAATTTCGCCATTTGCCGCAATAAACCTTCGAAACCGCTTGTAACTTCTTCTTATGGGAGGCATGAGTAATCACCTTGTTAGCCCTTATGGCCTATAGCCCTCGTGCTTACTCCCTCATCCTTGGGAGGGACAACAGCAACAACAACAGCGAACGGATGCACGTATCGATATAAAGAAAGGAAAAAAGAAAAAAAATGAGAGAGAGAGAGAGAGAGAGAGAGAGAGAGAAATAAAGAAATAGAAGAGGAAAGGTAGAGAAACGATAGGGGTACCAAACACACGCGATATATGTACCCCATCGACACCGGGTGTAACGAGTCAAGTAAAGAAACTAAAAATCACTGTAAAAGGAAGAGCAAGCTAAGAATGATGGAAAAGGACAAGGAGGAAGAAGGTTGTGTTAGGGAACAGGAAAAAGATCAATAGGGACGACAGATAGAGAAAAAATTATAAGGGATGGAAAGATACAAACAGATAAGAGAATGGTAGATCTCTCATATTCCCCTGCCGTTTCTTCCCCGCGTATATTATCCGTTCATTTTCCACGTTAAAATCTAACTAGAATTGTGTATTGTCATTCGCATCTCTCGTATTTTGAGTGTCTCATATCACTCGTTCTCGCGGTGTTTTCCTTAATTAATATCACATTAATAAGAGAAATGGCGTTGATAGATGGGACGAGAAGTCGTTGGCAAGTGCGAGTTTGAAATGCTTGCACGCGATATGAAAGATACTTGTTGACAGTATATAATATCGAAATCTTGATAAGAGTACCTCTTTATAGAGCTTGTTTTCGTTCCTTCCTTTAATGAAAGATTTTCTTTCGACTTGATTTACTTTGCTCCTTAAAAGAATGCAATAATTATAAGCCGATGTAAAAAATTGTAACAACATTTATTGTGCGAACAAAAAATTAATTAACGCGTAAAGTAGAAATATAATAAAAATATAGCAGAATTAATTAATTCTATAGTATCATATTTATATCGATTTAAATTGACACGTAAATTAGCAGTTTTAAATTTTGACATTGTTACTTACTAGTTTGCTACTAGTTTGCTACTTGTAGTTTTTTTTCACTATACATATAATATAAAAATTGAAAACAAATTGTATGTAAATGAAATCTTTCTGGCGAACAACACGAGACATCAAGTGTAGTGAGCGATTGTGTCACGTGAAGAAATAAAAATGGAGAAAACGAGCGAGAGACGCTAAACTTTTTTCTCGGCTATATTATTCTTATTCTTCTATTCGTCGCTTCGAAACCCTGAAGCGTTTATCGCCGTAATACTGATTATTGATGATTGGATTTTTGAACTTTTTATACCAGGCACGTGCTAGCTGATTTTTACAATTAGTGACTTAATAATGTTAATTTATGCATACGTAAATTACGATTATACGACTTGTGGTCTGATAATTATTGTTGATATTTTCTGCAATCGCGCATTATTTTCATTAAGATTCAAAAAATTATGATGTACGACGATGCGAAAAAATTCGAGAAATAATATTCTAATACTAAAGGCATTTTACATATGATTTCCAGGAATAAATTTTTTAGCATAAAGATAAGAGATTATGTCTAATCATATCGAACATATTGAACGTAATGATCCAGTTATCTAATTAAGTTGTAAACTCGTATACTGACACAATTCCTAACCCGCGATTAATATTTTTCCTCGAGAGACGTTAGAGGATCGAGCGTCTCGTGTTTCTCGCGACGCGAAGAATTTCGCTTGAAACGGGTTGTCGGTCCGGGTTTGCACGACGCCTTCGGAATTCCCTTTTCCTCGTAATTCTCACCGGACCTCCAACTTCGCGATACACGTACAAACGTATACTTGGCGCACACGTGCGCCAAGAAGTCGCGTGGCCCCATATCTTAAGAGGAAACCAGGGGGGGTCCAGCCGAAGGACAGCGAATGGGGACTAACACTGTTTTATCGTGTAGCCAATTAATAACGTTTCTCCAGGGTTCCTCCAGCTCCTCTCTCCGTCCAGCAGCCTCCTCTCCGCGAAGAAGAGATCTCGCTTTAGATATCCTCCGGCTCTCTCTCGTAGACTCCCCGAAGACGACATCTCGGGCCCCGTAACTGCTCGAATCTTGCGCGTTTTTATTTGCGATCGTGCCGCGGGACAGTAATGAGTTAAAGCGTCACCGACGCAAACGAAATATTAACGATTCCGTATTTACGTTATCGCGACAACGTGGAGAGAGAGATGCGAGAATAATCGTACGCCGGACATTTCGAGAATCTCCAATGAGAATAAGAATTGCCTTTGTGTTTTAGCTTACAGAGTTGTGTCTCGCATCGTCCTCCTGCAAGCAATCGTTCTCCAGAATCCAGTCGCAGCCAGGCATCGTGTCTCAGTGTGGAAATACATAATTACATAGAATTACGGTATAAGTTGTGTTAAATCAATGTTAATCGCTGTAGCGAAGTGGGGTATTATAATAAATACATTATTTTATGTACATCTGCGTGTGTCTGCCACTGTCGTTTTCCCCGAGACTACCGCTCCTTCATCCACAAAGCTCGAAGCGTTCCGAGTAATGATAAGTTCTTCGAACGGAAATCGATCGCGTCGATTATAGGATAAAATCTGTAACTCGGTTAATTGGATCGCGTAATCAACGAAATCCACGAATAGCGTAGGAAAAATGTTCAAGTCGTGACAAGACTATCTCTCGTCGCTGCGGAGTCTCGCTCGAGCTGGCGGGTCTCGTCGTTTAATTACAGTCTTCCAAAGTCGTTTGGAATTTGGCGACGGACTCTACGTCCCACGGAATTTGTCGAACGCGTCTAATTCCTGTTCTTCTTTTCCGCGAGGTAAACGGATCGTGTTACGATTACGAGGCAAGGTCGTAATCGCTTTTAAAGACACTTTCGGAGCTTACGGCGCGAACAACTTTTCTCCGGGACACAAAGAAGCTCGGCTTTTCTCCACGGTCGTTCCACCGTGTCTGTGTGCACCGAGGGAAAGAGTGGCTCGTAAAGAGCGCCTGCAACGGCCCGGCATCTGCGATGCGCAATTAACGAAAGGGTTTTCGCCTCTCCACCCCTCGTTCTTTTCCTCCTCGCAGCAGCTTAAAGGCCGGCCGCCACACCCGCTGACAAGACGTTTGATTTATAACGAGCTTTTACTTTTTAATTCCGACGCAAGTGTCACCGCGTTTCTTTTTTCCTCGCCTCGAGCTACCAGGAAACTCGTTGCGTCGCGAACGCGTTATGAGACGGCCTATAATTTATGCACAGTCTTATTTAGCTCCTCGAGTTTTTGCGTAATAACGTTGAACGTCGAGATTAATCGTAGATGTGAAAATCTCAATTGCGCTATCGAATCGAGAAATTAATGCGCCGTCGTCTGCGAACAAATATATCAAAATTTCTTAAAGAAGTAATATTTTGTCACATTTATTTTCATATTTTAATAATAATATATTTCTAGTAATAAATACATAGCTAATATTAAAAATTAAAACTACAAACTATATAATCTGGACTTTTATTAATCCTTAACTATATTTTCTGAAAAAGATTTAAATTTTGCGACGTTTAAATAATACGCAAATGCACTTATATATTACAAGACACGCTCGAGAGAGCTTATTAAAGCATCGCCGCTCGCCACAAGTCGCAGAAATATTCGGTCGCCCAACTTTTCAGCGAGTATCATTTCCGTAGCTTTAATTGTCGAAAGATAACGTCGTGGAAGGCAAGAAGCGGAACGAGGGAGGAAAGAGGCCAGAGATCGTGTCGTGAAAGTTTGAAGCTCTCGGTGGGTTCGTGCTTAACTCGGGATTTGGGACTCGAGGGGTACTTAACCCTCGGGATGGGTTATGAAATGACTTTATGGCAGATCAGAGGCTTGCTTTAGATTGCATAAGGGGGTCCAGGAGTAACGCGCGCAAGGGTACGCGCCTAGGTCTCCATACGATGTCATGTCCGAGCACGGAGAACGATCTCTATGATGATGACAACGAGGAGCCAGGCCCGAGAGAATTCCGCAAATGGAATCCTGATTACGAATAACGTCGTCCTTGCAAAATCTCGTCAAACTCGTCACTCACGTATCAGCTGCGCATCGATATCGGTAAGTAAAATCTTTCATTTTATTAAAGCTGTAATTTAACATAAAAGAATAGTTTCTTGTATGAATAAATAGGGGAAAAAAATACATGTTATAATTGCAACTAGGTATTATAGCTTGCGCGCAGATATCTCGTACAACGTTTGCTTTAGAGCGAAAGTTATTCGGTTTGAGCACCCTTTTTATGATTTTAAGGAGCTGACGTAGTCGGGTTCGTAATCGCGCTACGTAACATCAAACGTCTGACTTTGCGCGATTATATGCGACATATTCGCTGCATTTTAAAAGGCTGCGCAGATTAATTTATCTCAAAAAGAGCAAAAAAATTAATTTAATACGGAGGTTTTTCCTAAGAAAGTTACACGAGTATTTTACTGCGTGTCTTCATTATGCACATTTATGCGTAAACTACTACGAAATAGACGGACGTCGCTATATAATTCTGCATTTAACGAGAAGCTGACATTAAAGCTGACGTAATGAGACAGATGCTTCTAACATTCGCAACAACAATATCTGGTTCAATATTTTAATCGTAAATTGTTTCTTTTAATTATATTGAATATTTACTAGATCGCGCGATTGTGTTTTTTTCAGAAAAATTTATTATAGATAATAATTATAATAAGTTGGATGTTTCTCCTCTATATCGCCCGATTATTTAGAAATCTCCATCAATAAGTATAATTCTGTGCCTCTTATTGCACTTATTATAGAATATTAAATCTTAAATCAATTATGTCACGGATTATATGGTGATCATTTTCCGCTGAAAAAATAGCCGAAATTTTTGTGACGATCCGTAGCGACTCGTCTCTATTCGCGTGACGATAGATACGCGAGATAGCTCAGGTTTGAGCACCTCTTTGTGTAATTTTACGTTGCCGTGGGGTGGCTAAAGCTAACGCAGTGGGGTAGATGGTCGGTGGTATGCCCAGTAGCCAATTCCCGGCTTTGGGCTCGACTCGGCGGGTCCATTCATCGCCGTGCATTACGTGACCGGTTTACCAATCCAGCCCTTCCTGCACCATCACCCCTGCCGCCGCCGCCGCCGCCGTCGCCACCATCACCACCACCGACGTCCCGTCTATATACCTCTTTTCCGCTGCGAGGGCTGCCGGGTACGTACCTGTGTGTACGTGTATCTGCCAAACAACCCCCGGAGTCATATCGACCGGCTCGAATGGCCCGAACTCCCTTCGCGATTCCGAAATTCTCTCGTAAACGATTTTCCAAGGTTTGATTCCGCTACCCGTTTTACCCCGCTAAAAAAAGCTCTGCCATTCGACGGTCTTTCGTTTTTTCGCGCCCGTTTCTTCCTTGGTGCGAGAAGGACGAAAATAAATTATAAATTATGTATTTGTAGCGCGTGGCGTGAAAATTCGCAGTCACGAACCATTAGTCAGCGATAATAATTAATTATCTTCGATTAGAGACATGTGTAATCTCGGGCTCTGAGATCCGGGATATTATTCGCGCTTTATGAAAGTTTAGGACGGACTCGTCGCGGACAAATCGACCGGTTAGGTTGCGAAAAGAACAGCATCGGCGAGTATACACACTCCCACATATATGTACAGGCACACAGACGTGTTTCTAAAGTAATTATTCCGTCTATAAAACGGCCCGGCACGAATTTCCGTGACGAATTGCTCGCGATATCCAGTGCAAGCAAACGAAACGCCCACGAAGAAGAGGCCGAACCGGCTGAATCCTCGCGAGAGAGGAGAGACTTTCGAGAGGCAAGTCTTTAGAGGAAGGCGTCACGTCCCGCGTCTGATGACGACGGCACGTTTAACTTTGAGTCTCGAACGAAGCAGCTCTGGGGGTAGGGGGAGGAAGGGGGAGGAAGAGGGAGGAGGAGGAGGAAAGGAAGGTTCACTTCGATCAGCTCGGTTTCTACACGATGATGACATGTTAATGTATGGATGCGTAGTACATAAGCGTGTCTGGAAGGAGGTACCGAAGGAGAACACGCCGATGCTAAGCACGAGCCAAAGCAGACAGCCCTCTCCTTCCCTCGTGCCCTCCGCTGGGCCCCGCGACACCCCTTTCGTGGCGGATGGGTTTCTTTTCGGTTCAAGACGAACGGGCCCCGACGTCGTCCCGAGTCATTGTCGCCCTGCCTTCTTCATCTGCATACAATGCTGGAGACATCCGAACCGTCCTCCCTTCCTCGCTCTTCCTCTCCCGTTAAACTATCTCTTCTCTCCCTTCCCCCACCGTCCCGACGTATCATCGGGATATCGTTAATACGACCGTCCGTTGAAATTATCGAAGGAGAAACTAAAATGAGCACGCCGAGTGCGGATAGAGAGGTCGGGTTTTGGATTAAAGATGACGTCTAAATTAATCGAGCAGGCTTTCGAAGCGTTGAATGTCGCAACGACTAGTCGAAGAATTTGTACTGTTAGAGGAGCGGCTTATTAAATAGGGTGTGTCTAACCTAAGCTTGCTTTTAGCTTCCTCTTTTATAATTCTCGAAGTAATATGAAATATAATGAATAACGTGGACGCGTCAAACATTATCGAAAGTCGCCCACAAACGTCAATTTTCGTCAGAGGAAGGGGAGGAAACTCGATTAAGAATCTGACGTCGGGATAATAACTATTAGTCGTGCTCCCTTTTGAACTAAATAGAGGCAACAGTTGCGGTTTATGAAATTAAATCGCCGCTGACTTCTGGAACGAAAGTCAGCCTGACGCAGACCATAATGTTCTAACACATTCTTATATTCGCGCGGAAACAATCTCTCTATTATTCTTTCTCTTATAATTTTCACGTATAATACGTCATTTTATGAATAATATGTGCAATTTATTTTTGCAAAAATATTATTTTTATGAGAAAAATCAATTTTTTTGCGATTAAGAAGCGGCGTTCAAAAAAATATTGTAAAATTTTATAGAACTTCTGTATTATTCACTCTGCAAAACTTTCATTTTAATAAAAACTTAAGTTTATGTAAAGATCGGTTTCATATTTACATCGCTCCAATGTTTTATACAGAGTGAAATAATGTAAAAGTTTTTAACGACGCCGATGAGAAGAGGGGAGGGGATCGAAATGCTGCTCGCATTTGTCAGAAAAGCAGGATTTATTTTTGGAGGGTTCTGTAGAGCGACACTCGGCCACGGTGTATAATATCCAGCACGAGTGCAGCCACCTTTATCTCTTCTATTAACCCCCGCGAGGTAATTAAATTAAATGATCCACGGTCCCTCGATCATCCGGCTCGTAAGTGCCTATTTATTCCGGCACCCTTCGACGAAAATGAAAGCTTCTGCGGACGCGTGCTACACATCAGTCTAGATTCAAAGAAATGAATGCCTTGTAGTTGCATTGCACGTACGTTGTATAATTGTTTCTCGTTTTCAAATGTT